GATCTTTCATCACTATTTTAATAGCTTGAGATTCTATGCAAGATGGCTGGATCTTGTATTGTAAGATGTGGGTAGTTATGTGTGGGGAAACAAAGAATATTTCATCTCTTAAATCTGCTCAGCTTTAGTGACCGAACAAGAGCTTTGCAACTGTTTTGTTTGATATTTCCATTAAGTTAGTGGCTTTCCAACTTTGTTGTGGAATAAAAGTCAGGAGATCTGACTGCATGCATTGTTCTTTTTCAAGAGACTAGATTTTAATTCTGCAAAAGTCCTGTGACATTACTATCTTTCAGCATCCTTGTCATTAAAGTGTGGCAGGAAGAGAAGGAATAGGAAAGAAACACAAAGGGCAACTGCGATCTGAAGATTTCCCTGGGGAAGATGAGCAAGGTACTATTTGGGCTGCCAGAAGGTGAAATCAGAGGAATGTCTCCATTTTAAGTATGTTGGGAATGATTTAATTCTGTCATCATCAGCCAGATGGAAAACATGCTGACAGGCTTGGAACTACCACTGACAGAATCAAAGGGCATTGGGGTCACAGTGTGATTAGGGGGCACAACAAGGGCACCTTTGATAACTAGCTGTGTTTGGTAGGTTAGTGCATTAATTGGTGTGAAGAACACTTTGGTATTAGTATTATGGTGTATATATGTACATATACATATAATTCTGCTGGAATGCTGTTTTTAGTATGTTAGGGCTGCTCTTTTTAGTACAGTGTTTTAGGGTAACATTATGTTGTGCAACTATCCAGATGGGTGGAACTATACAGAATTATTTGTCTTTTAATGCATAAAGGAAAACATATCACAAAAATTACTAAATTCATGGTGTGTTCTGCAATGATCCAATACTGTGTACTACCACCTTTATATTTTTGTGAAGGAGATGGTTTGTTTTTTTCTGATGATATTTCAATTGTTCGTGTTATTTTGTGGGCTTTCTTTTTGAGCTGCCCTAATACCAAGCTCTTTTACCTTTTCCTCGGTCTATAGACACTCCAGGGAATATTCAGTTTCACAACAATGCATATGCTTCTCTAGCTGTACAGAGGAAGAAGCTGTGCATTATGATCTCTTTTCAAAAGTCTGTGTGTTTGATCATGTAACGAGGTCAAAGTGTTCTTCACACATACTTTTATGGTGTTATGTCAATGACCTGATATGCCCTAGAAGAGAGAAGCAGGTGGTTAACCATTTAGTAGTTCTCTGTGTATATATGTAGCAAGAGATTACAGTCAGTCACCGTATTATTAAAAGAGTCTCAACTGATCATTCAGGTATTTTATTTGTGCATGAAAACACGACTGGAACATTTGTAGCTATCTTTCCTTAGACGTCCTCCTTGGGTCTCACTTCTGGCAGAGAGAAGGGTTTCAGCCCTTGGGCTTAGGGCAGTGATATTTCTAGCCAATTTATCCCACCTTTCCTTATAGAAAGATGGTTCAACCATTTTGACACCACTGTTAGTTTGCTTAACTAATCCTTTAATCCTATTCATAGTTTCTGTTAGAGGGTGAGGTCCTGATAATCCCTTTGGGCAAATTTGCTTTCCTTTTATTCTCTCAGCTGGTGTTCAGGCCTTGCTGAGTGGTTGCTAGCCATAAAAAATATAGTAAATTTCTAGCTAATTACAGGGCACTAATTGAAGGACTTTTCACTTCAGGTTTTACTTTTTCTGTCATTGAATATGAACTCAACAAGTCATTCTGCACGGATTCATTGTGCCTTGTCCCATAAACCATAAAATTTTGTCTCTAATTAAAGGAGTGGAGCCTATACCTTTAAAAAAAAGCTTGGAAATGTCTTTACAGAGAGAAAGCAAAGTATCAGAACTACAGGGTTTTAGAAGAGGCCATGTTTATATATCATATTACTACTTTGTTGACATTAGATCCTATTTAAGTAAATGTCCCCTGCTTCTTAGAGAACTTAGTATCTTCTTAGCTGCTTTATATTCTGAATCTTGAAATTATCTGAGTTTTAAAATAATGTAATAGAAGAAAAGTTGTCTTTGCTTTGATTATTTGTAACAATATCAGATCATAACTTGGAAATGCTGTCATATGCATTGTTCAATCAACAGTTAAGGGAGGAAGGCGAGTAAATGGTTGAATGGGATTCAACCATACCAGGTCTGTCAATGACCGAGTAATTACAAGCTCAGGGGCTGTGATGTTCCTTTAGCAACAGTCTACTGTAATCTTCTGATAGACAAATTTGGAGAAGCAGATTATTTATTTATTTATTTATTTATTTATTTTCCTAAACGTGGCTCTTCTTTAAAAATACTTTATTTCAACAAGACCTTATTTTTTTGAGGCAGCCATTGTCTTAGCAGGTTCTGGAGGAAGGACTGAGTCTTAAAAGTAACAGTTTAAGGACTGAGCAACTCTGCTGAATAATGTGCTGCCTGCAGATATCCTACTGAAGAACAGAAATTTCACAGAAGGAAGAATGAAACGTTTTCCAGGGCAAACAAAGACTTTGCACTAGGAAGCTAGAGGTTCTGCCTCCCTGACAGACAAGCAAGGAGCCCCTTATCTGTGTCCTTTTCTGTCAGGAGGGGGGACAAGAACTCTCCCAACAGGCAGGGGCTGGCCACTGAAACACATGCTCTGTTATCCAGCAAATGCATTGTAAAACTACAAGCTTTGCTCTTTTCCCTTTTTCAAGCATGCAGGCTATTGCAGTATTACATTTATTGCAATTTTGCTGTCTTGGCAAAGAACTTTAAAGTGTTTGCATGCCTCAGTGGATCAGTGATAGACTAAATGATATGTAACAACAGTAAATGTTTCTTTCTGCACTGCAGTCGTGTTTCATAGGTATCATGCTGGAAAAACAGATCAGTGTTTGAATCTACTCTGGTAGATCAGTGCTGATACACTGTACTTGAGGCAGGCAGCTCATACCTGTAGTACAGGAAGCCAGGGGAAGGCCTGGAAGGTTTTGCATGACCATTCTCCCAAAGGAGTTTTTCTATTGCCTGGAAAAAATAGCCTAAGCTTATAACTATGATGGCAGAGGATTTCATTGACAGGAGCTATGTTTGGATGTGCTAAGAGTGCCTGGCTGTGCTCCCCACTCCTCTCACTCCAAGCTGTTGACAGCTCAGCTTCAGGTGATCTAATAAAATGATGTTGCAACGATGGTGTGGAAATCTCTTGCACTTTTGATGTAACTGGGATCCAAAGATGCTAAGTCATCACAGCATCCTGAAACTCTTAAACTGAATGCACTCGGAAATCAGTGTGAGTTTTCTGGATAGCATTAGTGGATGTAAGGCATAAGAAAAAGAAATCAGAAAGTATATTTTGGAAAAGCCATACACCTGCTGAAACACTTTCTATATATGCCTGGAGCAGTGCATTCCCCATCTGTAAAACTTATCTTATTAGAACAAACAGCTGGTTAATGGAGACAGAAATGTATTTTTCCAAATGGGCACTAATGCAAATGAAAAAAAGCATTGGTTTATTAAGAACAAAACTACCCATTTCTCTAGACATTTGTGTACATTGCTATAGCATCAGAGGAACTTAGAGAGAAACAAGTAAATACGTAATGCTGCTGAGCTATGAAAAATAATTGATATACTTTTGAAAGCTATGAAGAGTTATCTCAAAACTACATAAAAAGTTTGATCTTCACGTACCTTTTTCTAATATATTTTTTTCTTAATTATTATTATTTTTTTTTTTCTGATTTCAGATTATGGTTTATGAGTTTTGTAGCTTGAAATCTTAAGGCAATTTGACAACAAAAATAATGCAGACAAGGAAATTGGAACTGTCAAAGTGCATTGACCCTGGCATAGAAAAGGCCATAAAACACTAATACATTGCAACTGATTTCACAGTGAAGGTCACACTGAAAGCCCCAAAGTAGCAGTTACTTCAATAACTGGGGTCTCCCTCATCTGGGTTGGGACTACTGGGCACCAAAGAAAGTCTGACAAAGGAGATGAGGTTGCATTCTCCATGCTTGGATAAAGGTTCCTTCTTTTCCATTCCTGTCTCACAGATCAAAGAAACCAGCTCAGCATATAGCAACTCAATAACTTTGCATGCGTGGAAGAGGAATTATTATCCCTTATGAGTTCATTCAAATTGGTTGTGGGATGAGAAAGCATGTACTTATAACACAAGAGGCTTCTGAAAGTTTGATTACACTTCAATCTGTGGCATCTTTTGGTAACAGCAGATGGAGATCAGATACAGTGGAGAGAACTTTGTTGTTAACTACCTAAATTTCATTAAATTCACCTTTAACTAAATTAAACATTCACTTGACTTCATCCATAGGCAAAAACATATCACATTCCAGTCTAGCCCTATATCATAACTGCCACAGGTCTGGCATTGAAGGCAATGCATGGATTAGGGGTGGGAATATTTTCTGCTTGTGTGTCAGGCATTATCCTTGATTTTAAATGTGTACAGTTTGTAATATTGCATGTAAGACATGACAGCTCCACTGGAATGCTGCTGAGGAGGGTGGGACAGTGAGTATCCCACAGTGTTTACTGGGGACAACTCACTGTAGTGTGGTCGGTCTATGCTATATTCTTTGAGGTCTTTATTTCTACTCATGGAGACAAATGGAAGATTGCAGCTTCAGAATATGAAACGTCCTTTGTAAGGGGACAATGCAGATCCAAACACTGTCTACAGAGACACCTAGATACTTCAGGGAAGTGGGGAGAGAATAACTGCTTAATTATAGACACTAATAAACACATCAGCAGGGGAACATGGAGTTCATTGCAGAGAAGTGTCACTACAATACAATCTACATACATTAATTGCTAGGTAATACTTTGAAATTATGCAGAAACACTAAACAAAACACAAACATGTTGTAGCCTTTTAAAGAGAAATTCAAGACCTATGACACCTCATGGAAAATTCTGACAAACACTGTTTAGAAGTGAATGTGCCTCTATTCTGTATTTTTTTATTATTAATATTTATTTATTTTTTTTATTGTTAGGGCTACTTTAAAGGAACTGCAGCCTTAGTTCTCTGGTGTCCTGTTTTCAGAAGTATACATATAAATTTATGCACAGACAATCCAAATGTGAGAGCTGTGATTGTTCAGGTAAGCTGTTATATATGTTGATTTTCAGAACTTTTAGTGAAGAGGTGACGTATTTAAATTTATATGCATTATCTGTTCTTTGCAGTTTTCCCCTCTCTTATCATAATCTTCTCAACTACACTTATGCTATATCCTATGCACAAACATTGTGTGTCCTAATAGACACAATGTCATTAGCACTAAGCAACATTTCCACCAGTTTAAGCTTCTGGATGTTTCTCAGATCTCATTTGAAGAACATATGGAAATCATCCTACAACTAGCTGTGTTTTTTGGATGTGAATTTCTAAAGAAATTGAAGTTTTCTGTTTGAAACTTGGCAGGGGGTGGAGTGGGGAGTTTAAGGAGAAACGGAATATAATAAAACATAAGGAAAGACACTTATCAAAAATCTGTGTGATCTGGTTTCTATGTTTCCCTGTTCTAATTCAGAGTTTCTTTTTTCTTTCTCTCTCTCTTTTTTTTTAATTGAAGCAAATCCTTTAATTTACTATTTTTTGTCCTTTTAGTTGACCTCACTAGTGTTGTGTGCGTCAATAGGAGTGCCTTCTCCAAAACCCATTAACGTGGTTGTCGACCGGATGCAGTCCAATCATGTTAATCACCATTATTCTTCAAGATTGTCAGACTACTCAAGTCATCTAAATGTGAATTTCATGTCTGAGAATTGATGTGTTCCTTATTTATACCATGTACCTTGCTAGAAACTACAATACACTTAGCTTAAAAATCTGATATAAAAAATTAATAAAGATAAAGAAATCTCTTTAATACTGACGAAGACTCACCTGCTACTTGCTTATAAACTGGAATTAGAATTAGAGTGTTGTCTGCACCTTTCTTATCAAGATGCTAGTAAATTCAAAAGAATATCAACTTCTTGCTATACTATGTCTCCTCTTTGACTCTTAACACAGGCATATTAAAGAGAAATATAACTTTTTTTTTTTTTTTTGATGTGATTGCATCAGAAGAAAAGATACACTATGATTGATGCCAGTGGGGTTTGACAAATAGCAACTCTACAGAAATTATACAAAAATTTCCTTCCATATTTCCTCTCAACTGTTCTGCCACTTTGATGAAATGATAATCTCTCTAATCCATTTCTCCAGCTACAAAAGTATTTCAGAAACATACCCTTCCCTGCAGTTATTACTATGACTGAACATTTATTATCCAGCAAATGAGGTATCACACCCTCTGATAATTCTCCTGAAAAAAAAAAAAAAAAAAAAAGGAATAACTGCCCTCTATTGGGCATATTAATGATCAATTGAAATATCAAAAAGTGTTTTGTATATTCCGCATAAGACAATGCAGACTATTTAACTGATCAATATCCATTGCAGAAATATTTCAAATCTTGTAGGGATGAAATTCTGCATTGTGCTGAAGGGTGCCTTGACATGCCACTTATGCCCTAAACCATCAAGGTTATGGATTGTGGAGCTGTGAATTACCATTTTCATGTGCCTGAGTCCTGGTCAGTTTTGCCTTGAAAAATGTCTTAATGCACCAAATGATTGTGGCTTCTTCACTGAGTGTTCCAGGGCCTTTGCAGAAACACAGCTGAAAAGAAATGTGATGCAAAAATCACCAGCAGGCTTTATAGAAAGTCAGCCCTTGTTTAGCTGTTTGCTTTATTTTAAAAAATATATATTAAAAAGGGTAAGAACATATGGGAACTCTAAACCCACCAGAATACTTTAAACATCTTTTTTGGTTTTGTTTAGTCAGCTTAAAAAGATATAGGTGAAACTCAAGGTATACATCAGAGAACAGAGAAATTATTTTTTTTTCCTACTTTTGAACATTTTTTATTTTTTTTAATAAAATTGCTTAATAGTAAGAAAATACTTGCTGAGTGGTGTGGGTTGTTTGCTGGTCTTTAATCTCATTTTATTTTACGTGTACCTGATATATATGTTTGTGTGCATGTTTATATATCTGTGTGCGTGTACCTGTTACATGCAAATACATTAAAGTGTAGAGTAGGTACTATTTACTTACTTTGACCAATTTCTTAAGTGGTTTCCTTACAATATTATTTTATTATAGCCACATTATTTCTACCCTCTGCAAGTAGTTTCAGAACTTTCTAGCATTTGTGACACTGTGTAACTAAGGAAACCTTAGTGAATTAGTGTTCTAAGAGAAGTTCTTAAGCACAGTTGACTATCACCTTGAAAGAAGAATTTTTGAATAGTAATGATTCTTAAAAGTCGTATTAGTAGATTCCCTTCCTTGCTGTGGATGATCTTTAAAAAACAAATTCCAGTTATGTAAACCAATACAAAACAGTTTTGTTAAAAATACAAAAGAAAAGTTAATATAGAATGTAAGTTAATACAAGTAAGAGTAATTTATCTATATTTACATTTTGCTGTTGCGTTTTCTCTCTGACTGCTAAACAAAACAGCTATTTCTTTGCTTGCTTCTTTAGTTGAGGCAATAGTTTACATGACTATTTATATTTTGCATTCTTATTAAGAATTTAATATTGCCTCAACCAGTATGAACTATCTCGCTTTTCATGCTAACAAATATTTAACACTTTTACAGGATTATTCTGTATATACTATGGCTGGAAGCAAGACCAGTTCCTGAGGAAGTGTTTCATTCAGCCAGCTTTGTGCCACTTGAGCTTTTTCCAGGTAAAGAATTTGCTTTCATGATTCCTAAAACCTGCTTTCTCTGCTAAATGTTACCTGTATATATAGAGTAAGTGACCTAAGAAAAGCCTGCTGAGTCAAAAGCACTCCATCCTAATGCCATTTTTGAGAATGGAAGAAAACCTAAAAAAGCAGTCAGGATTGGATCAGGCTTAGCTGGTAATACCAAGAATAGATATTTTATGTGAGTACTTTTTATTTAGTGGAAAAAAATTATCTCAAATCCAAATAGTTACCATAGTAACTTGTGTTATGGTATATTATTTATGGACATATTGCAACATACTATACATAATGCCTTACTTTTTTCAGAATGTATGTTTCTGGTTGTTCGTGCAACATTTCCATGGCTGAGTGAAAATGCCAGTTCTTTTTATTTGCAGCAAGCTTACATATCTCTCCACTCTCCAAAAAAAAAAAAAAAAAAAAATACAGAATGATACATTTTTGAAATCACTTGAAAAAAAAAATCATGTTTTTTTTATTGTTTTCAGATAACCAGTGTAAAGCGGTAAAGCAGTACTAATATTTTTTTTTTTCTCATCCTGCCATCTTGGGTGGGTGAAATGGGGGAATGGCTTTGCGGTCACAAGTAATATATTCCAGATCTGCTGATAGAAGGAAAGGGCTCTTCATTAAGAATAGAAAAGAAAAGAAAAACAACAACGATAACAAAAACAAGCAAACAAACAAACAAACAAAAACAAAAACACAAATAGAACCACTATAAAGAAAGCAAATAAGAGTATCAGATGACTGGCTCTACCATAGCTTTTCATGTAGAAAATATCACAGTGCAGTATTTAAATACACGCTTTTTAATAGTGTTACTTACCCAGTGAACATGCAAATTAGTCTACAAAAGGCAGACTAATTTGTTACCATGTTTTTATGAATTTACAAACTCATTTTAGTCTTCAAGGCTTATCTTCAGACATTTAGTTACCACAGTAGCTGTGCTCTTGGTAGACGTGACTATTTCTTGCTATTCACATTTTGAGCTATAGAGGATACCCAACTGTTTAAAAAAATAAAAAATAAAAAAAATTGGTCACCTAAGTTTGAAAACACCCACCAGGAACAAAACTAGGTTTTCTGTTCTTTTCATTTTTTACAGTAATTTTGTTTTATAAAACATTAAGATAGGTGTTAATATAACTGCATTCAGATGAATGCTATTGAGTCAAAGGGAACAGCATAAGAAACTGTAGATTTCGTTCTGAAATACCTTTTTCTTTTTTTTTTTTTGTTTGAAAAAAAAGTGCACCACATTGAATATTTGGGTATAAGTATTTAGTTACTTTAATGATTAAGCTTACTTAGCATTCAGTATTCTTCTGCACTGTTTATTATACATGGCAAGTTTTTTCAAGTGAAGTATTGCTGCCAACAAATGCCACTTCTTCACAAACACAAGCTTATCTTTATGCTTGTCATTTTCATCATCTTGTATCTGTAACTATTTCTGAATACAGTTTGTGTCATTTACACATAATCTGCATGACACTTAAATACCATAAATCATGCATACATAACATCGCTGATGCAAATTTACACCTGCAATTACCTATACTTGCAAGCTATCGTTATTTTAAGGCCTTGGAGATTTACTGAAGATGACCCAAGTGTCATATATATTCTAATTATTTTCCCATAAGTTGAACCCACTTTGTCCATTTTCTACATGCAAACTCTATTCTGTCCTATACTTTTTCTGAAAGGTCATTACAATGTATTAAAAGAAAGATTAGGTAAAAAAATCTACACTGATGAAATAGAAATATTACATACCTAAAGAGCATTTGTCAGCAGCCTTCTGTGATGCATTTTTTTCCCACTGTAAATGGACTTTTATGAAGGTATATTAATAACTGGTTGAAAATAACCCTCTACAATTTACTATCTGGATGATACAATTAGCCACTAACCAGCTAAAATGGTTGTTTTCCCTATATATTTTATTTCCAGCAGTATTTACCTGGATCCTGGTACATTCTGCTGATAAATACTCTTGTAACTTTCCAATTTTCTATTGCAAAAGAAATTTGCAGTAATCACACACCAAGGAATACTAGAAAACCTGTAGACAAAAAGCCTACCAATGCAATGGTTGTGGATGTAATCATCTGAGATTTTTCCACTGTGCATATTTTTGTAGGGATGAATTCCATCCCTCCCTGAGATACAGGTAGGGATGGAATTTTGCCCATCTGATGTATGATCATTGACTCAGTTTCTCTGCTAGAAAGTCTAATAATTGCCGAGATGGAGGAGAGAAAGCCTTTGTTGTGATCCAGGATTCCTTTGTTGAATTTTCTCTATATAATAATACAGAAGTTAACAATTACAGCGAGGAAAGTCTTCTCACAGTGGCTATGTATTTTCTTCAAAGCAAATTCTGATGATTGAATAAATATGGTCTGGGTACTGTGCATATATTTGGAACATGATTTGAGAGCTCGTGCATATGACATAGATTTTTACTTCCAATGTATTGAAACATACTCTAGTAGGACCCTTAAAATGAAAACTTCTCATTGCCGTGCTGGTGTATGTACTGCTACTTTCTTTAATGTTTGCTCCTCCTCCCCTACCTACAGTCTTTGAAGCAAGAGTTTTTCTGTAGCCAGCTTATATGGTTCATAGTGATTCTGAAGCTGGCAATAGCTGCATTTATTTGGAATGTGTAGCAGGCAGTAAAAACTCTTAAGAGCCATCTTAGAGAATGGTATTGCCAGCTGGTGTCTTTTATTTTTTTCCTGTACTGATGGTTTTTACTTATTTTGAACGCAGCTGTTTTCTATGTGATGAGGAAAAAAATGGTAAGAGTAACATCACTGACTTATTTGATATTTCATCTTAATAGCTTATTAAATGTTGAGGGAAATAAAATGAGCAGAAGAATTAAAAAGGGGGAAAAGAGCAAGAAAAAATAGTTGAAAGGGTTGAGAAGAAATCCATTCACCCTCCACCTTATTAATATCAGCACTTAACACACACCAAAACAAACAAAATTACACACTGGGTTTCAAATGCAACAAATGGAAATAGAGATCATTAGGAATTGACAAATGAAAACTATTTTGGCTGTACATGTATATCAATTTGCAGTTGATATCTGACACCTGATACCTTTGTTTCTATACTCAAGAATAAACCACCTGCAAAGAACTTTGATTTTTAAAAGAAAGTTAACTTATATGGTACTTGTGCTTTTAAGGACATAGGCTTTCTTGTTGTTGCAACAGAATTCCTGAGCTTCACTGACACAAGTTTTTCCAAAGCGATACTCTTCTCCTCAGCATAAGTAATAAATGAGGAATATTCTCCTTTCAATTTAACAAATAAAGCTTAAAAGTAAAGTTACACTGTAATTGAAAACATTACACTGAGCATATTGAATTTAATGAGTCTCTAATACCTTGGTTCTAGTCCACTTCAGTAAGGAACTGGAGATGCCTTAGAGTTCGTAGAAATCTTACTGAAGACTCTTTGAAACTGCAATTTGGTCGTGTTTAAAGGACATTTATGCAAAAAAGACTGCAGACTGTGTTCAAGACAGCACATGCATTCTGAAATGAAACTTTATAGAATTGCTCAGCAGCTGGTGTACAATCTGAAAAAGATTCTTTCTTTTATTAGAAACACATAATGTTGTCATTCTCATTACTGCCAGAAAAGGTTATGCCCATATGAAGGAAAGAGAGAGAAGGAAAGAAGCTGGGAAGTTTCTCAGTTTTCTGCTTCTGTGAAATAATGTGACTTAAAGAAAACCAAAATTATTGTTTGATACATTAAAGAATGTACCTTCTGTATTTTGGTTTATCTGCTTCCAAAATAGTTTGGAAGATTTTGGACTTGTGAAGGTTTTGTTTTGTTTTCTCAAGACTTGATCTGCTCATTGAAAATAATTAGTTGAATGCTTGTCTATGGAATTTTCTTATGTTTGGGGGTGGGGGATGAAACCAACAAATCCAAACTCTAAACTTGGAGCTTGAACATTTAAGTTTAATTTTAATTAGTTGTGGAGTTCTGCTTTTGTGTTTATCTTGACCTATTTGGTAGGTGAAAGCAAGTATAGCTTCACTGACCTCAACTTTGCAGCCTTAGATTCTGTTTACAAATATAGACTACAATTAAAATAGGAAAGCATGCCAGTAAAATATATACCTTTAAATTCTAAATAGGCAAATATACATTTTTTTCTCATTTCTTCTTAACTCTTCAGTTTCCTGTATTCAGTGTCCAATAGATTAAGGTCAATGTATATTTTTGTGTTATATGTCTAGCTATGCCATTATAAAATCATGAAGAGTATTTCCAAGGAGGTGCCTCCGATGACATGCAGAGCAGTTCATTTTATGATCTTGATACTAAATGAGCAAACTGTAATATAGATAAAATCATGTTTATCCCATATAGACTCATTGGGTTTATATATGGGTTTATCCCATATAGACTCATTTTACATGGAGTTAATCAACCTCACCAGCCTTGACATACACCTTCCTCATTCCAGTTGAACTATCACTAACCTTCACAAACATTAAGATTAGCACCAGTACCGGTGTTCTGAGGGCTAAATCACATTTACGTAGGAAACACCTTTATTTTCTCTGACACGTGAAGGCAATCTAGCCTTTTAGCATGGGGTGCATAAACATGCTGTACTACAAGGATTCAGGAAGAGAGAGAGAGACAAGGGTGAAGATGCAACCACGAGCTTGCCAGGCTGTATTCCCAGGAAAGCTGTGATCAGGAGTGGATAGAAAGCACCGGTAAGGTATTCTTTCTTCAAGGTTGTCAGGCACTTTCTGTGCTCTAATCAGGTACGATTACTCATGCTCCTTCCTCTTGTTATGCAGTCTCAAGATCTGTAATCAAACTCCTAAAGTTCACATATAATCCCAAGTTAAGTAATTTCAAATGCTACTATCTTAATTTCACACGATTACCAGTTTCTTTAGTTGCAGCTATCTTCC